CCCATGGCCGGGGCCGGGCCGGGCCGTGCCGGCGGGAGCGCTCCGGGCCGCGCCTCTCCCGGGCGGGGCGGGCGCGGCGCTCCGCCGCTCCGGGAACCTTCGGTGGGAGAATCCCACCCCGGAGCGCCCCAAGGCCGGGGGAGGGAGCCGGCGGCGCAGGGGAGGGATGCGCGGCCGTTTCTGATCACGCTTTTTTGGGCAGGGTGCCGCGCTCCCCTTTTCCGTCCAAAACTTTCCATTCCAGCCCATTAGCTCGGGCCTCCCTAGCTCCAGATCTTTACATACATCTCCCTGAGCTGGGGAGAGGACGTTGTCATCTTCGGGGATCATGCAGCAAGAACAGCAATCCTGGGCTGAACTCAGGCACACCTCTCGCAGACGGGTCTGGCAGACCTTGGGAGAATAACGCAGCCCGGGCGATGCCATTTGGGTCGGGTTTGAGGCACTGAGTGCCGGTTCTGGCGGTGTTCCTGGGTCGGGGATTAAAAAGTGAAAGGAGCAGAGTTTCGGGAAATCTCCCATGCAAAGAATGGGCACCTCCTTAGCCCATCCCCACAGACGGAGTCACTCTGCTTCTCGACAGGCTGTCGAGCCTGTGGAGTTGATCCCCCAACCATCCTAGACTGCTTCTTTCTTTGCTTTCAGCAGTAAAATATTTGAACAATTGCTGGGCACTCTGGAAGGTATCACTCAAATTAAACAGCACCTATTAAAGGTAAGATTGTCATTCCGGCCAGGGGAGGAGAGTAGGGGGATACAGTGGCTGCTTGGCTTCCAGCCCCTATTTGCAGCACGCAGGTGAGTGGGAAGGAGAGCAGGTCCCACGGGGCTGCTGCTCCCCTCCTTCCAAACCAGAGGCTGATAAACAAAGGAGGTGCAGAGTGTGACTCTTCTTGCTCCTCCTTAGCACTGACTGCAATGGTTGCATCTACGAGCCTTTCATCCTGCTTGTTCTTCCCAAATCACCAAGCTAAAGTTCATGACAGAGGGGCTGGAGGAGGGAAGGACACAAGAAGTCATTGCCAGGACGATCTCTTAAGAATGGTAGCTTACAAGAAAGACGGGGACAGACTTTATAGCAGGACCTGCAGCGATAGGACAAGGAGTATGGTTTTACACTAAAAGATGGGAAATTCAGACTAGGTATAAGGAAGAGATTTTTTTGCAATGAGGGTGGTGAAACACTGGCACAAGTTGCCCAGAGAGGTGACAGATGCCCCATCCCTGGAAACATTCAAGGTCAGGTTGGACTGGGCTCTTAGAGACCAGGTCTAGTGGAAGGTGTCCCAGCTTATGCCAGGGGCTTTGAACTGGATGACCTTTAAAGGTCCCTTCCCACCCAAATCATTCTGTGACTCTGTGAAGGATGTTCTGTAGGAAGAGTAGATCATCTGCAAGTCTGGGGGTGTGGTTTCACATGTCTGGGTCCAGAGCCAGAGTGGTCACAAAGAAGCTGTTTTGGATCTGAGGCAGGTCCTGGAGAAAGGAGAAGTGATAAGGTCTGCTTGCTGAGGAGGAAATGGCGGAGCTGAATGTGGAATTAAATATCCCCAAACAAAATGTCCCAAGGGGATAGGCTCTGCAAGCATCAGAGACAAAAACTTCCCAACAAGAAGTGAACAAATTTCTCCTCCTCCTCCATCCCTGCAGGCTGTCTCTGAAGGACTGGAGCCTCCTGGAAAGTTTCCTGGCTGCCCCCACGGAAACAGTTCATTCCAGGACAGTCCCTCAGATTCAGTTGGAAGTGAATTTACTTGGCTCCATAAACCAGCTGTCGAAATGAGCCAAACGCCTCGTGTTTTGAAGCAGATCACTGCTGGAGCCAGGAAAGTGTTTGAGCAACAGTGACCTTAAATGCTGCCATGGTTTACAGTGGCATGGAAGGACTCTGAGATTTTCCAAAAGCTAAAGGCCTGATAAGTACATGAGTCCTCAGGAAAATTAATGAAAATCAACTATCAAATTCCTCTTTATGATGGACTGGTGTCTTTCAACCAGCAGGGCCAGTGGATAATATCTTGGCTGATCTTCAAGAGCAAGGGTTGGAAGTGTGTAGTGCAAGTGCCAAGTACAGCATGTGGATCAGTTTTGGATGGCACACAGCCAAGCCAGCAATGAGCCAGGAACCTTTGCATCCAAAGCACAGTGTTGAGAATGCCAGCAGCGCTGGCTCCTGGCTTCTCCCAAATCCTATGGGAGCCCAGGAGCTCTTTTGGATGATGATGCTGGACTTAACATGGTGGGTGGTCTCTCCTGACTCCAGCTGTGCTGCCACTCTCAGCCTCTGCTCTGGGAAAGAAAAGGATGTATGCTGTGTGTGAAAGGATGCCTACCTCTGTTAGACAGCATTCTTCAAACTTGGCAATCAATGCCTTCTAATAAAAGATTTAATTGTGGAGATACAAATGCATGCATGCATATGCACACACTTGTACATATTGACACCCAACTCTTGTCCAAACCATCACATTTATTTGAGGAACGTGGAATTATTTTAAGATTACCATTATTCATCAAAGCCACTAGCACTGATTTACCCTGCTAAAGTATTTGACTGGACTTTTAAGAGCAAAGGCCAAAGTGGAGTTGACACATGCAATTGCCAGGACAAAACGTGAATTTTTTTTCAGATCTTATTTTAAGATTGCTCATTCCCTGAGTATGTGAATAAACCAGACTGACTCTACCTCACCCCATATCTCACACTAGCCCCAGACTACAGGCAGCACTGTCAGTCTTCTCTCTCCTGACAGTCTTTCATCTGAGAAGGGATAGGGCATGTGAAAAATTGCAGCCAGTTCCAGTGGAGTTGTTTGTTCCATGCCTTGTCCCCAGCCCATGGTCACTGGGATGGTCTCACAGACCCTATCCCACCTCTCAACCTCAAAGTGAGACCTCATAGTCCAGGCTTTTTCTCTATCGAAGCCAGAGAATTGTTGTTCCCCTCTGATGCAGAGCCTGAGCTTTTTGCTTCCTCAGGTTTTGCTCTCTGGCTCCAAGCCCTGAAGCAGCCCCCTGGCCACAGGACAGATCTTCATGGCTCTAGCCAGTGCAAGGACCAGCCCAGCCCAGCCTTTGCATTCGGCAGCATTAGTGCAAGGAGGGGGTGGGGAGGATGGAAGTCAGACACCAACACACCCTGTGCCCCACAGACAGGTTCCCTGGGCAGGGGCAACACCCCACGAGGGTCCCAGCACGAGCATTTGAGAGGGGTGTTGTTCTGGGCTGTACCGCTGTTCACCCGGCAAGGCATGATGGGCAGCTGCAGTCCTATCAGTAGTTATTATGGGAGCACCAGAGAGCCAAACACATGAAGAGTTTCCTTGCTGGTAAAATAACAGGCACCCCTGACACAATAACCAAAACAGAACCCGGGGAGCTGTGTTTTTTCAGGCTTTTGTTCCCACCAGAAATTTTTTAGGTTATTTGCAGTTAGTTCACTGAAGGAACTGGTCTTGTAACAATGTCACAGCACATGTGTTTAGGTTTTGTTTTCTTTCCTAATACTTGGTGTATTTTCAGCAAGCCTTCAACAGAGATAGATATCCCTTGGTGTAATAGTTCTGGAAAGCTACGGAGGTTTTTGTGGTCACCTGTATTAATCACAAAAAGGATTAAAACTCAAAGATAAAATACATAATGTCAGAATGAATCTCTCTGTCTTGCTTGTTGACTAAAAGGGTGGTTTCTCACATGCTTCCCAGACATCCTAAGGTCCCCTCACAAGGTATCCACTTCCCTGGGATGTGGCATGGGGAGATGTTGCATCTTCTTAGCTGTCCTCCACAGCACCACTGATGCTGGCCAACCACTGTCAGGACCTGGGCATTCCTGCCTTGCACTGTGAGGACACCCTGGCACATTTGGAGAGAGCCTGGAGATCTTGGTTCAGATATTCACTGTGGATTTTTTAGAAGCAGACCAGTGAATGTCCATCAGAAGTTTGTTTAGATGTCAAACTACCTTAGACAGCTTTTGCCACACTCTGAGAAGAAAATAATAAAATTTGATCTCCACGGAGCAAGCAGGAAAACCTTCATCTTTCCCACTGTGAACTGCTGGACTGGTGTTACCCTTCAGTGAACAGGTTTATATATTAATCTGCCTTTCTAGCATTAACTTGTGTGTAGCAAAGGCAATGAGAACATCGCAGAGCCAGCCTCCGTCACTTGGTTTTCCAAACCTTTTCCCAGATATCATCTTCATTTGGGTTTTTCTACAGTTCTGACCCAAAACCTCCTGGAAAATTTATTTCTGGTGTTTACGGTTCTTCAGATGTTTGCTTTGATGCAGAGACCTCATGTCCTGTGAGTCTGACCTGATATGCTGTGAAACAGCATATGGAAAAAGCTGGGCTTGAGAAGAGAGCACAGAGCCAGCATTGTCTGCTGCCACACGCTGTCCAGAGAAAAATAACTGCAAGAGAGAAGCCAGGGAGATGTAGAGAGGGAAACTCCAAGAGGCTGATATGGAAGGTGATGGTTAGGAGTAAATGTTCTCAAGCCTGCTTCATCTCTGTTGCTGCTCAAGGTGCTGCCTTGTGTTGAATGTACCTTTACCCGGCTGAAATGAGCTGGTAAGGTGGGTGCTTCAGAGCAGGGGAGACCAGTTCCCTTGCTGAAGAGCCGACCTACAGCATGATGGGACCAGGACAAAGTGGGGAAACCACACCTAGAGGAGGGATGAAGGTTGCCCCTGTGTAATAAACAGAGCTGGGTTTTGGCTCAGGGCTGGGGTTTAAATCATCTAATTCGCAAAAAAACTGCTGAGAACAGATGTTTAAATATGAAAGCATATTTTTTAGGAGTGTCCTCTCAACATCTTGGATTTTACTGCAACCTAAGCATTGCCAGTAAACACTTTTTTCCCCTCTGCTTCCCACATTTTAAGGGAAGGGCTCTGCTTTGTTCAAAAACACAAGAATAAAGACCCAGCCCAGCAAAGAGTTGCATTTTGTGTCTCTCACCATGCTGTCTTTCTGCAGTCTTTCCTTTGGGAGCATGGAGGGCTCATGCCATGGGAGCACTTGCAACAGCCGCAGCCGGCTCCTGCCTGAGCATTTCTGCACCAAGGAGAGGCAGCTGTCACACAGCTGGAGTATGATGGTATGTCCTGTATGAGCAGCTTGTGTGCTGGTAAGACACGCCCTTTCTTTTGAGTCCCTGGGTGAGGCTCAAACTATGTCCAAATGAGGAAAAAGGCCAAAATCCCATTGTCACCTGCAGCAGGGCAGGGAAGCTTTCTGGTAGGTGAGGCACAGTACCATGCAGATGAGTTGGTGTCCATGTGGTAGTGCTGTGTTCTCATCAGTAACTTAAAACTCAAGCTGCAAATTCCAGTCAGTGACCACAGTATGGATGTAGTGGCCAAAGTGGAGATGATCAAGTTGTCTGCATGGTGTACTTGCCTAATCAGTAGCATAAATGCCCCCCTTGGCCCCACTTAGACCCTATGAGTTTGTTCCAGCTTCCTTGCTTCAATCCTGGCTTCTACTGGTCTTTCCCACTGTGAGTCCCAGCCCCACCGTGTCTCCAAACACGGATGCCCTGTGGACCCCATGCCCCTGCCCCATCCCCAGTGGGCTGCCCTTCTGTAGAACCCTGCTGGGCTTCCTGCTGCAGCTCCCCAGTTGTGTCCATCTCCTCTCTTTGTCCTGGTACTCACGGTTGGATTTTGTGTGTGGCCTTTAGAGATGGTTGCTTCTAACTCTGTTGGGTAAACACAAGGGTGTAGGGAAGCAGAAGAGCTCTGCAGAGATCCTGTGGGTGTGTGAAGCTAATCAGCAAGAGATGAACTTCCCCTTCCAGCAGAAACTTTGTTCTTGTTCCAGTTTTGTGAAAATTGTTTCTCATCCTCAGTGGGGGCAGGGTTGAAGTCTCTGAAGCCTGGCTGACCTTGGACAGGCTGACATCCCCAGTGTTCAGCAGGCTGTGGGATTTCAGCTAAGGAGCCATGTCCCAGGCCATGGGATAACTTGCTGAGTGACTCTAATGGGATCCTGTCCAGTGCCTCCATGTTATGCATGACCTATCCTGGTGCTAGCAAACCTGTGTCTCCTAACCAGCTCCAGAGACAGGTGGGTTTATAACAAATATCTCTGAAGCTGCACTGTGACAGAACATCTCCATCTCCTGGATGGAGTGAAGGGGGGACCAGAGCTGGGTGGCCTGAGGGAGAGGCAGGGCAGCACTTCCCAGGGTTTTATCTGCAAAGCCTGAGGTGAACAGGATCAGATTGCTTGTGAAGAGATATTCCTTTCATCTACCCTGGCTTTAATGTGCAAAATCATGGCTTTTTCCTCCAGAGGAAGCCTTTGCATTCTACTAGTTGAAAGAATTTGTACAACTTTTGGTATTTCACATCTGAAGGGACTAGTGGCAAGGAAGTTTTTAAAAGCATTTCTTTTAAAAAAAAGTTGATCTCTTCAGCATGTAGCTAAGGTACAATGTACCTTCCAGCATGTAGTTAAAAATGTCAAGCTGTGCTTTTCCAGAAGGCAGGCCTGAGGTATGGGAGCCCAGGGACTGGCATTGCCTTCACCTCCATGCTGCTGGAAAGTTACAAAGGAGAAGGAGGAGAAACAGGATTTCTCCCTTGAACTCCCCAGAAATGTGGGTAACAGATCCCAGGGTTTGGCTCTTGTAAACTCAGTGACTGCAAATCTGAAAACATGGAGTAACTTGACTGGAAACGGAGATGATGGGCAAATCAGTACTGCTGACAAGGAAGATTTTTGCTTTTCCAGCTCATGGAGGACCAGAGACTCCAGCAAACTGTGGCTCAGCTGAATCTCCATATGGGAAACAGAACCATTTGAGATGTCCTAGAGATGCCCCACCTGGAAGGGTCTCTGCTCCAACCCTCTGCTCAATGCAGGTCCAGCCAGATCAGGCTGTTCAGGGTCTTGTCCAGTTTTGAATATCTCTGAAGATGGAGACTCCACATCCGCTCTGGGAAACTCACTCCAGTGCTTGACCATGTTCCTTGTTCCAGTGTATGTCTGTTGCTTCTCGTCCTGTTGCTGAGCTCCTCTGAGAAGAGTCATGGATGTTGTGACTGAGTAGAGTACTGACACCAGCCTATGGCTGGAATCACAGAATCAAAGAATAACCTGAGTTGGAAGGGACCAACAAAGATCAGCACTCAGCTCAGCTCATACCCATGCTCCTTGCAGCTCTTTCCTTTCCTTGGCCTCCACTGGTGCTGGGGAGGTCAGCTTTACATCCACAGCTCTCAGCCTGGAGAGTGGTGTGAAGAGACTGGAGCTATAGAGAGGTGGCCAGGCTGTGTCAGGTGGTCTCTGGTCATGGACAAGCCCTATCTAGCTTTATTTACCAGTGTAGATGGACCTTCTGAATCTTCTCTGGAACTGATGGAAAGTTGGAGGTAGATATAGATGTGTGTAAATGATAGACTTAGTGGATTTGTCACCTATGTGTGGCTGAAGGTTGAAAACCCAAGCAGAGTTGGGGAGATGGTACCGTATGGGGACAGAGATGCTCTGCATAAAAAATATTTTCAAACAAAATGATGGGACCTATCACATGTACTAATTCCCTTTAATTTCACATGTGTTTTCCTTCTACCATTACTCTGCTTTTCTGTAGGCCTGAACTCTTTATTACTGTTCCTCCAGTCATGGTCTTAAATAACCCCTTATGTCCTTGGTTATAAATATCTGTATGCAGTACCACCTGAACATCATCTCTGCAAAAGTCCTTCCTTTTCTTCCTCTAGGGCTCTTGTTTAGCTAGCTCCAGGATGGCATGAAATGTCAGCAATACTTCAGCAGTGCTTGCAGTCAAGTCTGTGTTTGCAAAACACGAGGAGAAGTTCACAGAAGAAGGAGATCAAGTGCCTCATGTATTTCTAGGGATTAGTACTCAAATGACATCTGACAGTGATCAAATGGAAACATGGTTTTGTCCAGGAGTATCAAAAGATCTATCTGCCCAGAGCCTCTCATGACCTTTATTAAGTGACCATATGGAAGCTCACTGACACCTCCGCTCAGGTGCCTGGAGCTCAAGAGAGAGCAGTGCCTTGCCCTGGGGCCAGTGACACATTGCAGTGAAGTTACAACTCAGGTCTCACAATGAACAGCACAGCTTTGGCATCTCTGTTGACCAGTTCTGAAAAATATACTGGGTTTTTTAGCCCAGAGGGCATCGGTTCATTAGTCTTTCCTCCACTCCTGTGCCCAGCCAGCCACCTGAACCAGGCTTGTTTCCAATGAAGGCAGAAGATATTTTTTTAGTTTTTAAATTTTTTTAGCAGTGGGATAAATAGTGCTTCCTGTATAAGAGACAGTTACTTAAAGCAAGTTGATTTAATGTCAGTGAATCATGAGCAAGTCAAACTTTTGCCTACTACCTGCTTATTCTGAGACATGTCAGGGCATCTGTAAGAGCCGAGTGTACTTATGTGGCAATTGCTTAATAATAAGGAATTTTTTTTTTTGCTGAGCTTTGTGAAATGCCCCTTACACAAACTGGGTAATAAAGTCCTGGAGACATTGCTGTAGTATGTAACACTAATTATGACAAAATGAAACTGTAAACACATGGCTTTCGTGTGAAAGTGTTGTGTAACCATCAGTTAATGAAGCCTCCCTGCCCCTGTTGGGATGGATGTGGTTACCTCCACTCTGTAAAAAAGGGCAAAGCAGAGAGCACAAAGATGCTTTGTTGGCTGGTACAGACGCTTCCCTCTTCCCCGGAGAACTTAATGCTAAATCTCCTGATAATGTGGGTAGGGTTTGGTTTTGAAGTAAGCAAAGACTTACTTTAATTAAAAGTTTTGTGTGGGGTTTTTTTTTCTTTAAAACTGTAGTTACAAAGGCCATGGAAGAGACTGCCTTCACTTTCCTTTGCTGGCAATGTGCTGCCCAGCTTACTGAGGAGACAGCACGTTCTGCCTTACAGAGGCCTAAAGCAGTGATTGTTGGTGAATGTCCACAGTGTTTCTGCCTGGTCACTCACTGAGGTGTAGTTACAGGCAGAGTAGTTGCATCTCCTCTAAATGCACATGGTTAATGGATTTAACTGCAAAGCTTTCAAAGCCTGCGTATAACAGAGCAGTGTAACTGTGGTTTTTGTGCTATCATGATATGGCTTCCCATAGAGCAAGGTAAGGGCTTATGAACCACTGGCCCTCATGAACCAAGTGGTCCTAGCCTGCTGGAAGAGTAAAGATGTGAGAAAAGTGGGAAGCCAGGCATAGCTGCACTATTTCTGGCAACACAGTGCTCCGAGCAAGAGATGGAAAGGTGAGGATTTAATTGCAGAGTGCTAATGCCAAAGCAGCATGCTGCAATTTTTTTCCCCAGTGGTTTGTTTGCTGGGAGGAGGGCGCAGGGCTGAAAATGAGCACAGCTATTAGCATGGTAACTGCTGCCATTTCATCTTCAGGATCTCACTTGACACCTTGGTGGAACAAGGATAGAAACAATAAATTGTGTGCTATAAAACCTTGTGCATGGACTCCCTTTGTCTGATGGTGGCGCATTTCCCATAAGGCAGTCTAATGACAGGCTGCCTTTAGCTCATTCAGTGCTTGGAAAGAGCCTTGGCTCAACAGTTGGCAGCAATTCAGAAGCTGTTGGGTTGGATGCAGCAGATCTTCAACACTGCCTTTTGAGGTGAGGGGTCCCCAAAGAATGCTTATCTTAGAGGTGTGGGCCTCAGCTTGTTGTGGTAATAGGTTTTGTTGATTTTTGAAGAGCTATTGAAATAGAACAGAGACTCTTGGGGTCTATGGAAAACATACAGTGGAAACCACAGAAGTGGGTCTCTGCCTTGGGGTGAGAAGATCAGTTTTTATTCTTCATTCCACTGTTGACCTGCTTAGTGACTGAATTTATCTTTCTTTCTTTCAGGTACGTGACCTTCATACCTGAACCCAGTACCCAGCAGAGTGGGTCCTGCTGTGCACAGTTTGAGCTGTGCAGGTCCTGGTCACTCAGTGACCTGAGAAATGTCCCCACCCCAACACCGGTGCCTGAGGGATGCACACAATGCTGGAAAATGATGTCCAAAGTACAGGCAGAATGTGACAAGCACCAGAGCCTCCTGTGCACTTGTGTCCATCCCTACATGTCCCAGTG